CTCAAGGTCTGCAACCGACGACCTGCCGTTGGTGGTCGAGGACACTGCACCTCAACCCAAATGGCGGTCTGGAAACGCTGACTTGGGATTCTGTGTGCTCTGTGACCGGCCTACTACTACCAGTGACCGCTGGTGTACAACGGATCGCGCGTCCTATCACGCCGAATGTTGTGACGATGAACCCTACCCACTGTGTGGTGGTGCTCTTCAGACTTTTCCCATTGGTGAGTCCACATGAAAATAAATCACTTTTGGTTCTTAGCTCCGGGCCGATCCCGAAAACGCAGAGGTGTGCTTGCTACCCGGTCCGCAAAGGGGGCATCTTATGATGTTGACCTGGAACGAAGCACAGATTCCCAGAACAGTGTGTCCCGTAAGTCTATGTGCGTCCGTGTTTTCAGGTCCACAGAGGAACTACTCGACAGCCGTGGGTCAAGGCCTGACAACTACGACTAACTCTGTAGAGCACCAGCTAGATGAAAGAGACGAAGATGATTTCATGTGACCCATCGGCTCCGAAAAGTTTGTCTGTTAATGAGGTCCTATGCATTACATGTAAGTCTCGTAATTCTTGAGAGGTGCAGTAAACAGGCATGCGAAATAACCGCTGAAGATGGCATTGTGTGAACAGGCATCTACGACAGCATAGACGCTGCAGTGAATTTTGGGGTAAGTATCTCTACTTGTTTGTCGGCCGCCCGCCTTATGGTGATATTTCGATAACCTGAATTATATCTTCCTCTCATTTCAACGGCCAGAAGGACATCTGTAAACTTCAAAACGACCAATATATCTCAAAATTTCAAGAGGTCCGTTTTAAGCCTTTTCTCCGTTACAGATGGATGGGTGTGCATCATGTACCCCTAGACGCATGCTAGTCGTGTGCGTCGTTCAGCTCTCTGGTATTATCGACGTAGGCTCTATGTGGCTAGTTAGTTAAGCATCGCGTACCCCTAGCCATATGTTAGTCGTGTGCGTCGGTTAAGATCGATAAACCTCGAGGTCTTTCTAGCATAATTCGCAACCTACAATGAAAAACTCTGGTTTTTGCCAACAAACGAGCACGATGTTTAGCAAATAATTAGAGTGCACTACGGAATTTATACTGGCAACAAAGAACCATCGACCAAAATTTGTTTGCACGAATGCGCCTACGCAGATGTTGCGTCTCCAAAGGCCATTCAGATTCTAGAACGTTGAGGAAATTTGTTCCGGTGGAAAAATGCCTGAAAGTAACGTTCATTGTATGTGAGTCAAGCTTTTCCACAATTCGCGATTTTTTATTATCAGGTTACGTATTCACAGTCGGCGGTGTTTACTGACCTTGAGAATTTGCTCACTTAAAGAAATCGCCATAGTAAATGATTTTCAATAATACAGGAACATATATATTATACGTAGACATTCTACACTATGAAGTGGCAAGTCCCAAAATGACGTAGATTTCGAGAAATCAACCTCATTGTGCGAATAGCCAGCGGCCACATAACAGGTCAGCTACTTTCAGTCACTTGGAAAGATATTCAAAAGAAAACGCCATCCATTAGAATTCAAGGACTTGTCGACACAATCGAGCTTCCAAAAGCATGGTCCTGCCACGTATCTACTGCCCAGTCTCAAGGTCCCAAACACGTGGGGTGGGGTTATAGATTTCCCGAAAGACATGATAAAGCTTCGTTCTTTTCCTCTTATTTTATCTTTCGGTGAGCAGTTTCGGGCCACTCACAACGACTAACCTCTTACCCTTCCCAAGGCATCTACCAATCTCCGCCATGATTAACAACGTATCAGGCCTTAATTTTATGGTAAGATTTCGTTCATTGGCCCCGCTGGTTATTAATTTTGCTTTTAGACCTACAGACAAGCCCTGAAACTCAAAAAGAATCCACTCCTTCCCACGGTCCCTCTAACACGATATCTTTAGGTTTATATTTTTTCTAAACTAATCAGCGGATTCACCTTCTTATCTTCTTTTTGAACACAACCAATACATTTGCAACACCGGTCGGTCTTCAAGTACAGGCGCAGCAGTCGTTTCATTTTGAAAACCAAATCGCCTTATCCATCCTGCCGAGTGTTTGGACGTTCAAATTATTTGAACCGAGCACTGGAGTCGCCAGGCTTGGAAAAGAAAATAAACCCTTCACTTGTCAATTTAATTCGCTTGAGCATTCAAGCGGACCGCTCAAAATGATATTAAACCAGGCTAAATTCCCGATAGCCTGTCAAGGTTTTCGTTGGATGTAATTACACCAGGGTTACTCAGGCTACGAAAGTACAATGTGCATAGACGCAAGCGAAAGCTGTGGATGAACACAACAGTCAAAATTAATCCCTTGTTATCCACTTCCTCTAGAATGCGGGTATGGATTTCACAATCGTCAAGAATAGTATCATTATTTTGGAGAAATTTTGAGGAGTTGGAAATCACTTGTGCGTCTGGAGGGGTAGAAAGACCTAGCCCAGGCTCCTTATAGCGGCAGTTCATTCCAGAAGAGTGACACACATGAAGGTGTGACGCCTGGACTGTCTAACGCGCCTCCAGCGATGATCAATTATTTTATTGTCAAAAGTGCCTGTTGTGAAAAATATAAAGATGTTTGAATCAGCCACATATTGAGAATTTGCACCGCAAGTGAAGTCAATATACGCTGAGTAAACTGGAAAGAATTAGCGGCTGATATAACTTCACTGGGGATCACTGACGGAGTGTGCGAGAAGATCCCAGGAGATTTCATAATCTTGAATGAAAACGAAGCAGGCTCTCACTGATTTTCGTCGATTCACCGTAGACGGGCTTTCTTTTCAATTTAATGTTTCCTTTGAAAAATTAAAACCCCACGCTAAGCATTCTCCAGGGTCATTTCATTAGGCCGAAGACGGGAAATTCTGACCTGGATGAGGAGCGCTAATAGAAGTCAGCAAATGTAAGGATTAATGAGTGTGATAAAGCGACGAATCATGAAACCATCCTTGTCACCTTTACGGAATGCGAAGGCGTACAAATAAAAAAGGCCCATGGAGGTCCAGGCACTGATCTTCATTTGACATCCCAGAAGGCGGAAGGCTAAAATTTCAAGTAGGTGGCGAACTGAGTGACAAATTCACGTGCACCGCTTTGTTGCTATTGAGGACGCCTTCGGTGTACCCACTTTTGAGAAGCTAGCCCCGTCAGCAAAAGAAGCACCAAGAGCACACAAAGTGTAGCAAACACACAAAACTGAATCAAAATCACCTATGCAACAGACCGTATGTAATGTACACGCGGCGACAATATTCTGGCAGTACAGACGGGCTAACAGCAGCAGACATTCGACTAGGGTTGAAAGGTGACTGGCTGCTGCGCTCACACTTTCAGACACTGAGAGCTTTCCTTGATAACTGATCGGTAACCAGTCTGGTCTTTCGGCCATTAACTTGACGTGGAGGCCTCTTGTCCGTAGAAGCGGCTTACTTTGAACATCAAGGTGATTTCGGCGCGATTTCGGTTGTCCTTCTCTTGAAGTTTGGTTGAAGCAGTTTCGTAGCCGGGTGTTCTACTGCACTGGGCTTACTGGATTGTGGATTCCGACTACAGTCGTAATGCCTGCTCGGACAGAACCTCCGACGGAGAGGCTGATGTATCTTTCGCAGTGCTGCCGACTCCATCTCTGGAGGTCCGGGGACTAGACCTTGGAAATTGGATGAAGTTTGCTTGCACGACGGATCCGCTCGGTCGGGCCACACAACAGCCTCAAAACTCATACAGCACTTTTCAGTTGTGGCAGTTTTTGAGCTATTCACTGAAAGGATTTTTGGACAATTCCTGTGGGTGCCGACTTCAATCAGAACAGCTTTTATCACCAACTAGACGTGCATAACTGACGTGAAGACGAGAACAGTGTTCAGTCGGCTGAAGCCATGATCGTGGATAGGTTCCCACGGGTGACTCGGCGGCGTCATAACCTCCTCAATCTGACAGCTCGCCATAAGCCAGTAAACTTAACTTTGAGCGGGTCCTGCGCCCTGTGTTTGTCCAGACGCCCTTTGTGGAGCTGGTTCACTACAGGTGGCTGCACTTCTTTCCACGTCAGCGTTCTTCTGACGGAGTCCACCTGTGGTCTCTAGCAAACGACTGGTTCTGTGGGCCACAGAGGCTGCACATAGTAGGCGGAAAGAAGCCGTAGTAACCGACAGGGTCGTCGAAGAACCTGGTGGACCTAACGTCTGCGAGTGTTCCCATGCACTCGATGGTTTTTTCACAGGGTCTGGTCGGTGGCAGTGTTCTTCACCGGTTTCCAGTTAATCCCGTGTGTTTCGGGTTCGATTAGGTCCCACAAGACTCCTTATTACAATCAGTTAAACGCTGTGCCAACGGGGTTTTCACCTTTGACCCAGAAGACACGGCGAGGACGTGGTATGAATATTTTCAACCTCAGAGCGCACACTTTCATTGGGAAAAATGATCTCATTTCGGGTAGTTGCTGAGTGGAATAACCTTCCTCCGACAGTTATCCACGCTCCAACTAGAACCAATTTCAAAGTACTATTGGGCACTTTTTCATGTGAGTCCTCGCGCTGGCAAGCCTACTGCTCTGCATTGAGAACTTAAGGAGCAGTGCTACACCCGTTTTTTCGCTTGTGCCCTTCAGTTGACCGGCAACTGCTGAATGATAAGAACAAAGACGACCCGGGAATTTAGTGAGAAAGTCTCCGTTTTGTGTATCAGTCCGTGAATCCATGAGTATGTGTGACTGGCCTTCCGATCCTCCTGAACCCGTACATCCCTATGTACCCCCAGATAGTCACTGTCAGCTCACAATTCCCATATGCACCGTCTAGCAATCTTCCAGTCTCCGGTGAAATACAATTTCATTACTCAGCCAATTGGAGTAATAAGTAAGCTCTACGCGCTCCGCCTTATGATTTGAGCCTTTGAACTGAACACGAAGTACTGAACTGAACAAGTCGGATTTGCCGTAAAAAAGCTTGTGGGAAAACTTGTCCCGATACACGGTTCTCAGGCTACTCACGCGGCCGATGAGGTCGCACATTCGTCAATGGATGCTGCTGTGGACCAAAGGTTAGTGTTTTAGAATGTGATACAGCATAAAATGGAAATAGTTCAATGATTCGGGAATAGTTCACCCTCGGGAGATCCTCAAATTTGTGGATACCCGACAAAATGTCATGCTTCAACGCGATCCATGGAGAGTAGCACAGGAGAGCGACTGGAAACGCAGCCCAGATTAATTTCCACGTACGACTGACATTTACACTCTACGCCAAAAATAAAAAAATGCCTAGGAAGGAGGTCGTATCAACCTCAGTCACGAGAGGAGTAGCAAAAATCGGTTGGCTTTGCTGCCTAGCTTCCAAGCCAAAGGAATTAGACCAGTTTACCAAACCCTAGTCAGGGGCCATCGAGATGCTGAGATTAATTTCGAACCAGAGACATTCTGGTCCGTAAGCTGACGCCGAGGAAGAGTGTCCGTGGTTCGTATCCAACCTCTGCATCTCGACGGCTCCTGTCTAGGTTTAGGCAACCTTGAAGTATCTCAGCCCTTGCGCTTCCTACGAGTTGCATGGTAGTTAAACACCGAAAGTATGTAACAGCTGAATGACTATCACTATCTGTTTATTTGATGACCTCAGACGGGAGCGAATTCCGTGGACAACAATCCTGTACATTGTAGGCGGCATGAAGGCGTGGTTTATTTCACTCTGCAAACAAATAATGACTTTTGGTACGGGTGCGCACCCTGTATGGCCTCATAAAATCGGGTTTGGGAGTCCAGATTCCGATTTCATGAAGTCAATCTGGGATCTGTTTGGATCAATGTGTTGTAGCACCGCACAGGGTCAAAAGAACTGCTTACCGCTTCTATTGGGTGGCGGAACCGGTGTTTCCTCCGGTCTTTAAAGTGTCTGTGAATCCTGTCATGAAAAATATACAGGATAAACGTCGCGAGTTTCGAATTGGTACGAAGAGTGGTAACGTTGCTTTTCCTAGCTACTGGGTTGCTCACTAGGCTTTGGGGCCGTACTGCAAACGTTTCTCCACCAGTCGATGGATGCAGCCGGCGCGCGCACAGACGACATCCTGCCTGCCTTACGGTCCAGTTGTAATGTTTGGCGAAGAAGCCAACAGCAAAGGATGAAGGCGCCAAATTACAGGGATAGACTAAGAGCGTTTGATTTATCGGGGTGAAATAGACTGCGGGAGCTCTAATGTAGATTCCATGGGAAGCCGCAGAAATTCTGGGCTTCGTTGGATTGCTTCCACCGTACACTTATTTGGTCGTAACCATCTTTGTTTTCGGAAACATAACCAGATTAAGCCTACACGAAAACGTGCTGCACGTTTTGTTAATGTTTAGTGAAATTTCCATCACTCAGAGTTTCCACTTCAATCGTCCATAAGTGTTCTGGAGCTATGGAAAATTATCTAATTTCAAGGGCTGCTCGAGGTCTTCAGGCAAGTGGCCCTCATTATGGGTCATTGGTAGTTGACGAAAGCCACATGCTTGCCGATGGAGTTGTTCCCAGCCTGACGGCTAAGTAGTCCTCTAATTTATCTTTTTACGTCCTCTCTTAAGGCGCTGTACGCCAACTCCCGAGGCCGTGTAAAGGTCTACGGGAAGCTCTCTCCTGAGTTCACCACATCCAGTGGTGTCCGACAGGGATATCCTCTTTCCCCTTTCCTCTTCAACTTCGTCATTGATACGATCTTGGAAGACGCACTACCAGCCTCTAATGCCTGTGGGGTCGAAGTGCTCGCTGGGCCTCCGCTCACAGATATCGAGTACGCAGACGACATAGCTCTTCTGGGATCTGATCCCGTGGTGATGCAAGCAATAATAAATAATCTAAATAATTCTGCCTCGTGATTCGGCATGCGCTTCACACCTGCAAAGTGTAAAGTGCTACTGCAAGATTGGGTGGGCTCAAACCCTAGCCTCATGCTTGCGGAGGAACCGATTGAGGTAGTAGACAAATTTGTTTGCCTTGGCAGCTGTATCAGTCCCGGTGGTCTCACGAAAGAGGAAATTTCCATCCGGATTGGGAAGGCCAGAGCAGCTTTTGCGAACCCACGTCACCTGTGGCGTAGGTGTGACATCAGCTTCTCTGTCAAGGGTCGAGTTTATAATGCTGCGGTGCGCTCCATATTACTATATGGATCAGAAACCTGGCCGCTGCGCGCCGAGGACGTCAAAAGACTTTCAGTGTTTGACCATCGATGTCTTCGGAGCATTGCCCGAATCTGGTGGGAACACCGGATCAGCAATTCTGAAGTACGT